GAGGAAAAAAAAAATTAGCCGATCTTTGAAGCGAACACAGATTTTTTTGAGGCAGCATTTTCATTCATTCTCACACTTCACACTGAGCTGCTCTATGCCAGAATAACAAATTTTATAGTCTCATCTGCCCACACAAATATGTTACTGATGTGCCTATAATTATCCAAAAGTTTAGCACTTTTTGATATTTTCATAGGTGCATTTCTGCGATCACAGCGCACATAAACGAGGACGCCAAACCCACGAGAAGAAAAAAAAAAGAAGCATTTTCTTTGCATAATTGCGCTCTGGCAAAAACTATTATCATTTAATTCCCATGTAATCGCATGTTGACACAGTGTTTTTACAGATGTAATTAACTTTGCCATGACAGAGGAGAAGCCACTGCAGTGGAGTGGACTGAGGAGGGAAAAGTACAAGAACTATATTTTTAATGAATTCATTAAGAAGTCGAACAAATAACAAACCGCAGGACGAGGACAAAGGCTTCTGTTTCTGTTATTGTAAAGCTCTCGCCTGTGTGTGTGTGTGTGGCTGTTGATGGACAGTCGTGGGTTTGTCGCTGCCCTGATGAGCTGCTGTGAAGAACAGTGTCCCTCTTCCCCACACCACCCACCCTTCCTGGCCATCTTCCATGGCCTTTGTTTTTCTTCCTCCCTCCCTCTCTGTCTCTCTCTCCCTCTCCCCCTCGCCGTCTCTCCCTCTCTTTTCCTCCTCGTTATTCGGCTACTGCCACAGTGCGACAGCAAAGACGCTTGGCCCATAATTATGCATGAAGCTTCACTGCCAATTAGCAGAGGCTCCCCTGTCCCTCTCGCTGAGTTAGACATGCTAATTCATTTGACATATGATGTATAAAATTCATTATGCATTCTGAGTAGTTTGCATGGCTCGCTTCATTTATAATAATATAATGTATAGGAAGTTTTTTTTTGTTTGTTTGTTTTGTTCATTTAAAATTGTTAATGCGCAGCCTGGTTATGTTTTTAGTTTTTTACTTTTATTCCGTCTTAAATATCCCCGCTGTGTCAGGACACGATGAGCGAGGATGTTTAAAAGGATTCAAGAAATTTGGAAATAAAGTTCGTCTTCAAGGTCCTCGGTCGCGACTTTATTATCTTTGTTTATGATTCGTAGAGATGTTAGTAATACCAGATGGGATTAGAGGAAAAAATAAAATTAAGATAATAAAAGTTGTTTTTTCTTCATCAACGTCAGTTTGTCTGGTTTTAAAATGTGAAACAAGACGACGGCGGCCCGGGCCGACGGGTTTCTATTTGTTCCTCTAGGTCCCAAATATAAAATAGGATCATTAAACCAGTTTGTGATTGGTCGAGTGCGGCGCCGTAAAATTGTCACCTCTGCTTACGGGAGGAAGTGTCTTAATGAGCAGGACAGTTTTATGTGGACGGCTCTTTGTAGCGTCGTCGCTGAAGTCGTGACCAAAAAGACCGCGCTTCCTCCAGGCAGGGCGCACACACACACACACACACACACACACACACACACACACACACACACACACACACACACTCCCCAGCAGGATGACCAAATCCTGCTTTTCGTGTAATTAAAGAGTAAAATAAAGTTTAAATCACAGCTGAGGCTTCTGAAACTTGCTTTTGGTTTAGTGGTCGCTCGTCCCCGTACTTAACCCTCGACCCCAGACAGGAGTCGTGTGAGGCGGTCTTCCAGTGAGCCGTCTACAAAGTGTGAGATGACTTACGATTACAGGTGCCTGTGCGTTAAATAAGATTTAAGAGCCATCTACAGGAATCACTGTCACGCTAAACACCAACAGGTACTTTATGGAGGAAAAGAGGCCGCACGACGCCGATGAGCCCCAGCATTCAAACCGCCGCGCTAAAACTGCTCTGACCTGTCAGAGGTGCATGGCAGCAGAAGAGGGGCCTTGTGATTGGGTCTTAGGCTTTTTTAAGGTAGTTTGTGCTTCGAGGGGGCGGCTGCTGCTGCTGCTGGGGAGTTGTGTTGCTACCTGTGGTCTCCTTGGTGGCAACAAAGTTGCTTTTAAGTGTTCAGAGGTTTAATAAGTATCTCTTACAGCAGTAATTTGGCTAATTTGTTTCATTTTCAGTCTTGGTTTGTGCAGTTCTTCACCAAAGTTTCAAAGTCCACAACGCTCCGATTCCAAAGCTCCAAAGGCGTGTTGTCTTCCGTTAGATGGTCCGAGTCTGGGATGACGAGCGCTGTGAAGGCTGTGAGTGGGTCGCAGATTAACCGGTTCATTCTCTGAGTGCACGGCACTTTGGGAAGACGTGTTTAAAATGGCAGGAGAGATTGCGGGGGCCCCCACGCACCCAGCACTCCAGTGATAGATGCCTCTGCGTCTCTATCGGAGGATTTGTGAAGCACAAACAGATCTGAGCAGTGAACTGTGA